CTGTAGCTTCCTTGGGAGGGTCTCCAGGACCCACTTTTTCAGGAGCAGTTGGCACCGAAGAAAATACTATAACAAAAGTACCAGGTGCTTCTGAAAATAAGAATAAGTTACCAGGCATAGTGGCATATGCCTTTAATCTCAGCACTTAGTAGGCAGAGGCAAGCTCTGTGGACTGGCCTTAACTAGTCTACATAGTTCCAGGTTGGCTGGGGTCATGCAGTGAGACTCCATCTAAGGTAAATAAACAGTAAGTAGAGAGGCTTCAGTACTGGTCAGCTGTGTAATTTTCAGTGTGGTCATTGTAGTAAAAGTGTGCAAGACTGCATCTCTCATACTCAAAGTTCCTAGTATGCTTGTTGCTGTAACGGTTGATCTTCATTTTCTATTCTCTGCTTCCTGACCTACCATGATGTGAATGGAGTGTCTCCATCATTCTCTCTTCATTGTGATGGATCAAATCCTCCAAAACTGTGAGCACAACTAATTGTTTCCGGTCTGACCTTATTTATGACAGGTGTTTTGGTCAAAGACCCTCATAAGGTAATTAAGAACCTGACAGAGCATAAAATAGCTATGTATTGTTTGGTAAAATCCGAAGACATTGGGAAGCTCTCACCACAGGAGGATTAGCACAAGCAAAATCCCTCACTTGTGGGTCCTGGATTCAGCCGTCTTTCAAAGGAGATTTCTCTGTATAATAGAAAGATGCAATTGCATTTAATTTTAATTTGAAATTGAATTTTCTTAGTACCTGAATAGAGTAGTGTTTGAAAATAGTTGACTGTTCTTTTTTCTGATGTTAACATTTACACGATTTGATTTTTTTTTGAAGGACGTTGTTTATTTCCCTGGGTTTTAGGGTTTTCTATTTTTGTGTTTTGCTTTGCTAATAGCTTATTTAATTGCTCATAAGTTCTGTTGAAAACAAATGGAAGGGCTATTTGAACTTTATAAAGTGCTCAGTTATATCAATTTCGAAGCAATCACTTTCAATATTAAGTAATCACTAAATATTTCCTATTTCAAAAATATGTTTTATGGACTTAAGATATTAAAATTCTATCACTATATACTTAATAAAAACATATTCAAAGACATTTAGACTCTGAATTATGTTACAGCAACTGGTAGTCTTGGGTGGTTTAACTTTCTAAACTACTCCAGTTGCAAAACAGAGTGGAATACAATATTCTAAAAACACGACTTAAAATACTTTTAGCAACTCCATTGTTTGCTGCCATGGTTTTTATTCTTTCAATATTATCTTTCCAAAACAGTCATTGTGAATTTCCCTCAACACAATGAAGAAAAATGTTGTCTGAAGAAAATCAATGTCACAAGATCTGAGTATTAGTCACTTCCTCTCCAGACATAGGATCTGGTGAGGCTGGCAATGGCTTGTCCACTCATACCCCTCAGCAGTGTGTTGGAGTTTGCCTTTATTCAATAACATTTAATGCTCCACATACAACTTTAATTTTTTCAAACCTTATTTTTAATGATGGTTCTTAAACACTTTAACATCCCTTTTAGGCCACCACCCATCAGAGGTCATGAGAAAGAAAGAATATGGGGGAAGTGGACCTGTTTAGAAAGGTTTTTTGGAGAAACTCCCATCTGCATTGTCTGGAAATTGGCCGTTAAGTTTACTGAAGTCAGCAGCAGCTTGAACCACTCACAAAGACTTCATGGATATGTCAGTAGTTCAGTTCAGTAGAATCAGGATAGCAAACGCAAATCAGCAGCAGTGGCTCTACCTAGCAGAAACAGCCAGTTCTCAGCCTCTGCACAAGTCAGCAGGAGGAACCTGGTAGAATGCCAGTAGAAGTTCTTGGCTGTGGCTCTCTCAGCAAAGCAAAGATCAACAAAGACACTAGACCAACAAGCATTACGCAGCTGGCTGTACCAGCAAGCTTAGTTCTGCCTCTATCACTGTCTATTGAGTTCTTTCTAGTACTCCTTTCAAACATTACATGTCCTCCACAGGTCTTGCCTTAGCACACGTCTTGCCTCCGCATGTGAGTCTGTTTCAGCTGACATCACTCTGTCAATCAGCCTGAGTCTGCAGAAGTGGCAAGAAACTGCAGCACACCACCAGACGTTTTTTTGGTGTGTTTCTCTCTATGGAGTGTCAAAATATGGAGCTCAACTAAGCAGTGTAAGAGGGACCAATGCATGTGTGTTGTTAGCAAAATATCCCTCATCACACGTTCTTTCACATACTTGCTTTAGCAGAACATGCTTGCACCTGTGTCTGCTGCAGCCAAACGTTCCTTTCTGATTCTGCCTTAGCCTTTCACCTGTGTCCACTTCAGGAAAACACTTCTTCGCATGTTTGCCCCAGCAAAACACCACCTAACACAACCAACTTTCAAAAGAACCCTTAAGTTTCCACTTCACCCACACGACATAAAGCCAAAGCTTTATGCAGCCTAGGCTCCACTCTGATAATGATCTTTTTTTATGAAACATTTTCTTGTGGCTATGTTAGAGTAGAAAAGATTCTTGGTCAAGAGGATAAAATCCCTGGCTTTGGTGGAGACATCACATTACAGTTGGGCCCGGTCAATTCGTTAAAGACTTAGGAATGTCCGCTCCCCTTTTAGCCATGCTAAAGACATATTTGGAATAACTAGTCCTTTAGTGAAATACTGAACTATGCCTTTCCACGACATAGCCCCTGCACACACACACACACACACACACACACACACACACACACACACACCACCCAGTACCGTAGTTTTTAGGCCACATGTAGTCCTAACTTAGCTGGCTTTTCGGAATTATTCAGGATAGCGAAACCTTCCCCCCCCTTTCTAACTCCTTAAAAAGCATGTTTTCTTAAATAGTTTGGGCTTTCCCCCAGCATTTTGGACTTCCTTATACTTTCTCTAAAACTTGCCTCTAGGCCATGTGGTTTCTTGTTCACGTGTCTGACCTCCAGTTTAAATGGCATGTCCTCTTCCCTTCTCTCCTCCTTTACCTACCCTGGGCATCTGCTGTGTTTTATAGCTTGTGACTTAGGGTCTTTCTTTTAAACTCTAACAAATTTATTCTTGCTTTTCCATTCTTAAATATTTTATTAATAAGTTTAAAAACCCAAAGGGAACCCAATATTCTCTGTATCAATTATATTAACTTGCTATGCTATCACAACTAAAACATCTTTGCTCCAGTGTTTGTTGGTAGTTCAGAGCTTCAATCCAGTACGTCTTATGGACTCTCTTCTTGTTAACCATAGAACCTTAGAGGAACATAGACAATTGCTATTAGTGATCACTTTCCTTTTAACAGATCTCATGACTACCTCATGGTGAGAATGGATAAAATTTAAAAATTGGCATGACCTAAAAAAGTAGCCAGACAAACTGATAAACTTTCTTATCTAGAAAAAGACAGCATTGAACAAGAGTTAGTCATTATGGGAAACAGGGAAATATGAAAGTATTTCTTCATCCTGGTTTTAAAGTTTTGCAATGATGGGGTAAGTGAAAATACTTTATTGCTTTTATTTAATTACAATCCCTAACCGAACATGAATGAACCTTCATATGCCTTGGCTACATCAGCAAAAATTTGGAATGAAACTAAGAATAATGAATGTATAGGGTGTGAGACCATACTGTAGTAAGAGAAGCTGTTTTCTTTCTCAAATTGAAACTGCCCCTTGTTGAGTCAGATGGGAAGGACCAGAGTGTCTAGATCTAGATGATCCTTGTTCATCTAGAACTTTGCTTTGCTTGTGACATCCTCTGGTTTTAACTTTTCATTAAGCCATGGGTAGAGATGTTCTTCATGTAATGAGCCTTGGTAAGTATTTTGAGAAATTTTAGATGTATTTTTATTTTCATTTAGATTTAATCAGTAAAATGAAATCAGTATATACTCAAATTAAGGGTGGCATGACTTTAAATGTACTCTTTAATGTGCTTCTTTCTTGAAAAGTATTGTTTTGAAAGTCTACTGACTTCTTGTGTTGAGACACACTGGTCATTTAAGAACTGAGTATGTAAAAAAAAATCCTGAGGACTTATATGAAAATATACTTGCATCCACTTTTTTCAAATAATCTTATCCATCTTATTTCCCCCCTTTTAAATTCATAATTTCATCTTAAATATGACCCTTCCTTTGTTCCTACTCATCATTAAGAGCTCCTTGACTGCTAACCAAAATAAAACTTCAATTTTAAAGGAAATTTAAAGAAGCTAAAACATACAAAAAGATATTACAGTCTAAAGCATACCTTGCTATAACAAGCATGAAGCTAGTACTGCACTATGAAGCATTTGATAAAGGCCAGAGAACTGGGTGGCTTCTTGTGTTCACACCAGCAGCAGTCTTTGCTTTATGTTCTCTAAAGAGAAGGATTTCGATGGGACCATGGGACACTATGCAGTCAGAGTTTAATGAAAGCAAGCAATAATCCACTATTTAAATAAAAAAGTATTTATTTTATGTATATGAGAGTTTTATCTTCAGGTATATCTGTGCATATATGTGTGCTTGGATCCCAAGGAAGCCAGAAGAGGATGTTGGATGCCCTGGAACTGGAGTTATAGATAGTTGTGATTTGCCATGTGGGTGTCAGGAATTGAACCTTCTCTGCAGCACAAAACCATACTCTTTAGAAGTGAACCAAAACCCCACCTCAGGGTGGACAGTTCTTGGAAAGGGCCATGTGTTTCTTAGGTGTCCATTTTATGTAGAATACAGCCTAATTATACGTGTAAGATGCAACAGTATACATATACATACACATATACATATGTATGAATATTTAAGAACCCCAAACTTGGAAAGGCTATTAGAGTAAAGGCAATAATACTCTGCAATGTTTCCCTAGGAAAAAAAATTATGAAGTTATTTAATCTGAGTTAGTTTCTGTGGACCACTGTCATCACTGTCCCTTATGCTCTTTTGTGAGACCTTGGGCTGGCCCATCTGTAATCATCCATTACCATTATCTTTATATTAAAAAAAATTACTAACTGTCTCCTGCTCCTAAAGGCAATGCAGGTATGTCGCTGAGTATATGCTGTGCACCAGTTGGTGGCAGAGAGAAGTAATGTCTATGTTCAGTGTTCTGACCTGTGAGCACTTAAATGATTAGTTGGCTAATATTCCCTAAAAAAAAAATAGCGAGCCTGAGATGACCATTGTTCACCACTGCATTGGTCAGATAGTCTTCTAGAGCATGGAGTAAGTCCAAACCCTATTTGGAATTGAGCCCAAAACAGATGAAGCTCATATGGGGTCACTCAGGTAGACAAAGAGTGAGCCCAAGATGACCACCACACAAGTGTCATGGGGTCTGCCTGGACAGGGAGCTAGTCTGAGATCACCATTAGTCTAGTGTCACTGCATAGGCCTGCAGGAGCAGACAAGGCCCAAGTTATTATATCTTTCCTGGTGTCGTAATGCACCAACAAGTCATAGCACTCTTGAGACCACTTCTGGGATGATCCCAGGCTCCACTAAGAGGAACAAGTAAATGTTAGAGAAATGGAAGAGAAAAAGAAACTAAAGAATCTGGGCACCACAGATAGAAGCAGAACTGGAAACTCCAGGTGAGGAACAAACTTCTGTGAGTAGCTGGTGATGCCACCTGGGACCATAGTGGGGTCCTGACCTACGCTGCCACCAGGAGCTACATCTCAGTCCATGGCCATGCAGTAGCAGGGGTCTGTTATCACTAAAGACCAGGCAGATATCTCTGGTCTGGCCTTCTGGCTGGGGACATGTTGATGTCTGAGGGTTGTGTTGCCTCTACCCCTCACTTGGGCATTGTGAGAGAGCTGACTGTGGGGGCTTGAGAGCAGGAGAGCTGACTCCACCCCTGGTAGGCTGCAGTGATAGAGAGAGCAGGCCTGCACATTGAAGGCATTCTGGTGAGCTGCTCCCAAGGAAATGGAAGGAGAGAGCTGGCCATGCTGCTTTTCTTCCATGAGGTGGGAAACTCCCCTCCTTTCTTTTTCCTGTCCAACATCAGCTGAAACACTTGGAAAAGTGGGCCCTGCTCCTCACATGGGCAGAGCAGTAGAGCTGATCCTGGTGGCAGGGGTACAGTCAAGCTGGCCCTGACACTTATTTGCTGTGCAGTGACATGGGCAAGGGTGAGATGCACCCCTCCCTCATCCCTTGCCATCTAAGGCAGGCAGGAAACTGGATCCAAGGTCATCGTAGCAAGAGAGCTGGCTTAGCACGTGCACCTACTGTAGCATTTGGAGAGCAGGTCCTACACTGTGCCTGTCAGTATATTAGAGCTGATCCTGGATATTGGGGTTGCAGGTTAGCCACCTTGAGGGCATTAAAGCAGTAGAGCTGAGAGGTTGATCAGCTCAGATACCTCTCAGGCCCAGATCCAGGGATTTGAATTGGTCCACCTCAACAACTTACCATCAATGAATTGTCAGAATGCATAAAGTGGGCGGTCTTTCAGATTCAAAATGTCATGGGGCAACAACAAGATATCTAAGAGGAGTTCCAGGAGGTCCCAGTATCGATAAAGTAGCAGAAGTTAAAGGCCTTGTACCAGATCATAGAGTCACTGAAATGAACCTTTGTAAGCAAAGAAGTGTGTATACTGTGGAACACACTATGACACCCTACAACTTTCACAATGACATTTTTTCTTTGTTGAGAAGGTGGTTGTAAGGGTAGAGGGTGACTGGAGGGTGGGGGAGATGAGTGGGATTGAGGTGCATGGTGTGAAATTCACGCACACACACACACACACACACAATCTAACATTTTTCATTACTGATTAATTGATGTGTGTGTGTGTGTGTGTATGTGTGACCGAGTACATATGGAAACCAGAGTAGACTTTAGATATCAGTTGTCTTCAACTACATGAGTCTAGGAGACTGAACTTGAGTTGTTGAGTTGTTGTCAAGCTTGGCCGCAAGTAACTTAACCAACTGAGCTATCTTACTGGCCCCAGTATCTTTATATCTTGACCAACAGTTGTTTCACAGTCTTCAGCTGATTCATTATTGTTCTTTATACCCTTTCTTTGGGGACCTGATGCCCTCTTTCTCTTAGAGCTAAATAGCTTTCTTTCAAAGTATAACTGTTTTAGATACTTTATCATCATGAACAACAAAACAGTATTCTTTAATTGTATGTGATATGCATGTGTATACATAAATAGATTTGAGTGTCTCCCTCCTCCTTCATGAGTGTAGTGTGTGTGTATATGTGTGTGAGTGTGTGTGTGTGTGTGTGAGAGAGAGAGAGAGAAAGAGAGAGAGAGAGAGAGAGAGAGAGAGAGAGAGAGAGAGAGAGAGA